TCTGCTGCCACTTCGGCGGCGACGGAATCTTGAATGGCAGGGTGATTGACTTTTGCCTGTTGATCAGAGTGCCTGCCAGGTAACCGACCAGCACATGCTGTCGTTCTGGCCTCTGCTGAGTCGGAATCTCTCTGGAATGGTTGACATCCCTCTCAGCAGCCAGTCCATCAAAACATGCGCTGAAGAGTATCAATGCCACCCTCAGGACCACGTGCCTCATCGAACTTATAGCAAACCACGTGTGGCATTCGCCACAGAATAGACACCTGCTGCTTCGACGATGACAGCGCCGACGCATAGCCACGCAGCCGTCCTTAATGTCCAGGAAGGACAGTTGTCACAACGTGGTCACGAAAAGTGGACCAAGGGTGTCAGGGGTCACGTAAATCGGTCATTCATCATTGCCAGAGACGGACTACCGTATCGGAACCTCAGGGCACTAGAATCAGCTGTGAAACAAACTGTCCATCGCGGACGCTATCCGACGACCGGAAGCGTATGGACACTGAAATTTGTCCCGAAGTGAATGCCCGTTGACCTGTCAATAATGTCGATAACAGCTACCGTAAGGACAAATTTAAGAAAATCACGTTAGATTGGAAAGATTACGTCATTAACCAGATTTTATCAGAATCACAATAACAGATTTAGTGCGCATGCTATATCCTTAGAGAGTCTGTCAGTTTCTATGACCGCCTATCTTTTCAGGTCACCCAGGCAGCTTTTCCGACGTTCTGAGTTCTTTGCCAGCTTTTCGACAGATGAAAACACGAGTCCGGAGCGCCGTCTGTATGGACATTTGTCCCAGGTTGTTCCTGGCATTCCTCTTATCCTTCGGCCGGTCGGATTAACAAGCATTCACAGTTTAAACTTCCTTTCTGGAAATATTCGCAAGACATGCTCAAATAATCATACGTTTGACTTCTAAATCTGAAGAAGCGGCTATTCACAAATGCTTGTGAAAATATCTCGACTTCAGACCATGTCCAGACGCTTCAGCCAAGCGATTTTTTTCAGAGAACCTGTTTCAACAGCTTGTACCCGCTATCTATGTTTTCACTAATTATTAGCGATAGGTAATAAAGACTAGCGTAAGGTGAAGAAGATCGACTTTAACATGGAAGTTTTATTAACTGACTGTGCCACATTCACAATGGATGGGGCTAATCATGAAGATCAGCGTTGACATTCTAATTCGCTGGACGATCTACGATCTTTTCTCCTATTTCCAATCATCAATAAACACGACTCTGAGGAATGCTGTTTCAGTGCTTCTCTTTCTATCTCCAGGGAGCAACGGGCACGACAACTAGAGGACATCAAGCTTTTCCTTAGACACGTTGCATTCGGCTTCGAACCTCTCCAGAAAGCGCTGCAAATCAGTTTTTAAGGATGCCAGCAAAACAAAGTGACCCTCTAACAGGAATTTTCTACTTTCTACACTCCCAATGCTAATACACTAGCCACTGCTGCTGCGCCTATCTTATCCATGTGCTACAAAAACAAGATAAGGGGCAAAACGAAGCATTGGCGAAGACCAGTGCCAAAGACTTGCTATCGATATATATGTTTCCGGCAGCGCTCATAGTTTGTTGCTGGATTCACTAATAGGCTTTCTCAAGGAAACAGACCACATGTATTCCGCGTGAGCAAACCCAAACGATTTCGTATAAAGGGATGATCTGACCAGAAGTGCATCGGCTCGACTTGATATCACGTCTTTCTTGTTGTATCTCGGAAACGGCTATTCCGCAATACCTCATTTCTACCACTTTTCCGTTGAAATTTTGAGAGAGACTCAATGATGTAATTTCCCGATATTTGGAAAAATTCTTATGGTTGTCTTTCTTTGACAGCGGCATTAAAGCCACCGTTTTCCAGTCTGCATGTGTCTTTTTCATCGACTGATAATGAAAGCCACTACATGTCTTGTTCGCCTAATGCTTTAAACTTTTTAGAGTAGATTTTGTCGTTTAAAGCGGTCTTGCAGCTTTCAAGTATTTTACAGCTTCTGTGACTTCATCTACCGGCAGACTAATATCCTTTTCTTGCTGTTCTTCAGGTCAGCCATTGTGCGGTTCTTCAAGATAATCTGTCATCCTGGATAAAGGCATCAAGACTTTTCCTTCAAGATTCTTGGACTGTCTTTTTTCCATGTCGGTGACGACGGATTATCTGTCAGTCTTGCGTGAGTTGAAGGATCTTTGATTTGAAGCCACTTCTTGAATGCAGCCTTCTTCTCGGAGACATGCACTTGAACCTCTGAGGTCCACGGGGAAATTCGTGTCTGAATCTGGACGACAGGCCAACTCACTTTGAGGCTTAAAATTCATCGGCAACCCACAGTAAGCCGCACTTAAAACACTTTAACTCGGTTTTTTACATCAACAGGATCATTTGGATCTGTCAAACCGTTGTACGAAGTTTTTTGAAAGCTCTCTTATATCAGCAGAAGAGCATGTTTCTATAAGACTATCTAGTTGACGT